GTGGCCGGCGCCCGGCCCTACTTACGACAAGTCAAAACAAATAGTAATGGAAGAACTCGGAAAAAAAATAACCGTTGGCTCCGTCCTGACGCCGCCGACGGCAAAACCAAAGGGGATAGCCCCGCTAGGCCCTCAACCCCTCGGTCCCTCCGCGCCACTCTAATATTCCCGCGTTGTCGCCGCTCGTCCTCGATCCCTGAACCTCCGTCTCACGAACCCGATACCGTACCAATAGGGCTAGCCCCAAGTCCGGAGTTAGCCTACGTAGAACCCAATATAAGGTGATGCGGCGGCGCAGTGCCTAGGCCAGAAAAACGGTCTGGGCATCGTCTCTGCCTGCAACCAAGCCTACGGCCGCTATGTATCCACGCCGGCCTACCCAAACTGTGTCGTAGCCGCCCCCGCGCGCCATCATACGCCGCCCGATTTACCGCACAAGGTCGCACCGTCGTTGTCGACGCCGTCGTCCTCGCACGCGCGCTCGCCTCAGTCAAACGTACCAATCAAAAGAAAATATACTTAATTCCGACTTAATCAAAAATAAATAAATAAAAATAAAACAAAGTTAAACCGACCGGCGTCCGCGCCGGCTTTATAATCAACGACAAGGAAAGAAATCCCGCGCGCCCACGCACCCTCTACTTCTAGAACTCATAGCCAACCTATAGTCACCACACTGCCGCAAGTCGCGCGGCCTTCTCAACAATTCCGGGTCAAACTTGTTTTCTGTCACTTGCAAAAACCAGGGCGGATACCCTTGTAAGGGTATTCGCGCCGACAACGTGTTGCTCCCTACAAATAGATTGGAGCATGGTCCCGAAAAAAAAAACACAAAAAAAAAGGTCATAGTTAGTCCTCTACATCACACGAGTCATCTTTTAGATCTATGTACATTGCATTGGACATATATGTTGTACTCATGCTCAGGAGAGAGAGAGAGAGAGAGAAAAAGAGAGAGATGTTGTGAACTATGTGCCGTGGGTTGTAGATTGTGATCCGTGCTTTACGGCTTCAGGCCCCACCGCACATGCATGGCCTCGAACCGGCACCCTCAGCCACAGGAACCAAGTCTCTTAACCACTACAGCCCCGATGCGGTGTACAAAAGTGGAACCCTACCTGCAGGGCTGTAGTGTCCAACGCACGCACACCACACACAACACCACACGGACATGGCAATTCACGAACACTTCGCTCCAACAGCACGCGACTCACCGACCTCGCTACTGCTCCTCTACATGACAACCCGAAGCATCGTTCGTCGGGCGGAAGGGAAGAAGAAGAAGAAGAAGAAGAAGAAGAAGAAGAAGGAGAAGGAAGAAGGAGAAGAAGGAGAAGAAGGAGAAGAAGGAAAGAAAGAAGCCATTGGTCTGAGCAGATATGTGTACCTGCATTGTGACCCGATGATAACAACAATGTCATTTTCCTGGTTCTGTGCCTCGTCCTGGTCCCAGTTCTGGCCTTGGAATCGGTCCCAACTCGAGGTCCATGGTCTGATATTTCCCCGAAGACAGGACGAGGGGGACCACCACCCAAGCCCCAGCAGCCCTCCCCGTGTGGGCATTCTGGCACCCTCACTCCTGATAGAGGCACTAACAGCGTGGCTTGGAGAGACATGTCACTTGCTCTGCAAAAGACCCACACAATCACACACAGCATTTCAGGAAAAAAAGGGGGGGGAAAACTCATACGGCATGCTCCCTTGATCATAAACTATTAAAAAAGAAAAGAAGGAAAATAACAAATTGGAGCTGGCAAAGATGCATACAGCTAACCCATGAATCTTTCAGTTTCTGTGGGAAGATGCACTCATTTTTTTTCTTTTCGTGTGACATGTGGTGTGGCCCTTGGCTATTGACTGCGTCATGTCAAAGAACAGCCCATCTCTCCGCCCACCGTCCAAGCAGCAGAAGCAAATGGATTCACACATCTGAGCCTAAGCCCTCCTCTGTGCAAGCACTGGCGACCTCGGCATCAAGAGCCAGGTATCTTGACCACTACAGTCAGGACACAGTGTTCAAAAGTGGAACGATAACGGTCGTGATATCCACCCCACCCCTGCAAGGCTGTAGTGTCCAACTCAACACACACCCCACACAACACCACACAGACACACGGCAGTTCTCGCGCACCTCGCTCTTCCAGAATCAACACGTAACCCTTACCGCAGGTACTCTCCCCCGTCCAGCATAGGGCTACATCCGCTCTCCCGTTCTCGCGCACCTCGCTCTTCCACAATCAACACGTAACTCTCACCGCAGGTACTCCCTCCCGTCCACCATACGGGCTGCATCCGCTCACGCCACCGGTTAACGGGGGCTTCCACAGCAGCAAATGGATCCGCACATCTGAGACTAAGCCCTCCTCCGTGCAAGCACGGATTCGAACCGGCGACATCGGCCTGAAGAGCCAGGTATCTTGACTGCTACAGCCAGGACACGGTGTTCAAAAGTGGAACCATAGCGGTCAAGCTCCCTGCAGCCGACAAAAGGCAAGAGGCCTATGGCAATTCAGATCTGGCAATGGTGGGGAGCGGATTACAGATCTTCCAGCCGTAATGCAGCCTGTTTGGCGTCATGCCGGTGGAAGAATGGATAGAGTTGTTGTACAACCCCTTGCTCTTCATCCCACGTTTCCTGATCCGGGATGATCAAAGCACGGAGAAGATGACACACAGTCTGGTTGATCTCCTCAGCCAAACCATTGGCTTCAGCTTGGGGACACCTGACTGGAACGGATCTACCCTGGGACCCGGCGGTGTTACTGGGTCAGCTGTCAACGATATCCACCAGTACCTTTTCCCACTTGAAAAACAAATATGCAGCTCGTTTACAGCCGCATTTATCGGGGGTTGGGGTACTGGACTGAAATGGCTGGCGGCGCCAGCCAAAAGTAGGCCCGCATCGGTTCGTTTTTTTTTAAAGCGCAGGGCGAACTTAGGCTCCGCATCAATAGCTGGGTGGGGTACTGGTGGTTTAAACCACCAGTACACCAGTACCCTCCCCACTTGAAAATCAAATACGCATTGGTATATCCAGGAGCCAAGCACGGTACCACACGACCGAAACGGCTGGTGGCGCCAGCCAAAATAAGGCCTGCGCCGGTTCATTTTGTTTTGGCGCGCAGGGCGATTTCAGGCTCGGCATCGATAGCTGAGAAAAGCACTGGTGGTTTAAGCTCCTTTCAGTACACACGGTTCCCAACGATAGTTTAGCGAGCCCGCTGCTCCCATGAAAGGCCAGAACACACCTATCGTTATCTCCAAGCCAAACAGCACATCATGGAGACTAACAGAACGAATATTCATAGAGCTCAGAATCAACTCAAGGAAACACTCAAAACCGCAACAGACCGGGTAAGAAAAGACGAATGTATTTCCCCTTCCTCTTTTTCCCTTTTTTCTCTCCTCTTTTAAAGGGCGATAGCCTTGAGATATCATTCTGGAACTGACCAGCCCTGGAATTCCGTTCATCTGATTCCATCTGGATTCGAACTCAGGTCTGCATTTCAACAGCTTATGGGTGTATCGACTGAGCTAAGTAAGACCCTTGGAGACGAATGTATTTCCACATTTGAACAAACATGGTTAAAGGGTAGGGGGCTATTCTTTTCACTATGCATCTGGATTCTGTATTCAGGGACATTGGACCCAGTTCCCAGCAGGTGTGGCTCCCCACCAATAGATGGAGCAGCCCCGTAGGCAAAACCTCAATCTCGGTGGTGCTCTTATCACTACCAGGATAGAGGTTTTGCACAAGGGTTTTAAAATGAAAAAAACAAAAAAAAAGCTTAGACCCAGCACGAAAGCTCAGTGCAGTAGACAGACAACAATGTGGTTCATAGATCCATACATACGCGCCAAAGTCCTCCTCCACGCAAGCACGGATTCAAACCGGCGACCTCGGCCTCAGGAGCCAAGTATCTTAACCACTACAGGCAGGACACGGTGTTCAAAAGTGGAAACATACCGGTCGTGATATCCACCCCACACAACACCACATGGGCACGTCACACGGACACGGCAATTCTCACACACTTCGCTCCACTGCACAAGACCCTTCCATCGGTACTTCGCCCGCACACCAGACAACAAGTTTCAAAAAAAAAAAAAAAAAAAAAAAAAAAAAAAAAAAAAAAAACATCTGCATTGGAAGCCATGGTGGAAGGATGAGCACTGCTGGCCATGGCGAACACTGCCAACTACCCATCCGCCCACACCAGGAGAGCCCGCGGCGGTACCCCCTCCCTTCAAGCACCACCCTCTATCACCCGATCACAACAACAACTCAGACAACAACTCCAACCAACCTCACTCAAGCCCACCTGTGGAGAGAGAAGGGACATGGGTCCACTCCCCTCACAACACCACGCAATTAACAACAACAACCCCTTTTCCTGACACTGCACCTCCATTCACCGCCCCCGCACTCCCCTTCGCCGCTGACCCCTGTCAACCCCCCCCGTTAACGGATTCACCCCCTCCACCCACCCCTGCTAATCCACCTCTTTACTCATCACCTCCCCCAACGTACCCACCACTTCCTGATTCATCCCCGCCAATGGCCCCCCCTGCCTCCCCTCAACCCGACCACGCCTCTAACTCAACCCGACAGCCGTCTACCCCGTCAATCGGCCACACCCACGCCTCCAATCTCTGAATCACAGCTTCCCTACGGATCAATCCACTGAATAACTAACTGCAATACCTTTCTCGCCCTTTTTTTTGGCTAAAAATAGATCAAGTGCAGTAGCTGATCAGTTTAATATCTGATCCACGTGGTCCATTGGGCCATATGAGATTAAATTAATTTTTCAGGGCTATGGAGGGGTCACAGGGGTAGGCTTGCCTGCTCTACCCTTCCAGCGTTGCCTTCGTATTGCACTGCAGCGAGGCGTGGCGCGGCCCATCACAAAAAAAAAAAAAAAAAAAAAAAAAAAAAAAAAAAAAAAAACAAACTAACTGCTTGTTTAAAGTCCTGGCCAGGCAGAAACCAGAACACAGCAGCAGCAATCTCCCACCCCAGGTGGTGGACAGCAAGGGGAACCCATGAGAGTCCTCCAACAGGCCAACGCAAGTGGGCAGTTTCCTGCAAAATGAGCTGAGACAGAAAAGGGAAGACAGAAACAGCAACCTTCAATCTCAGCTGGACACCAGCAGAGACCCAAGAGGACTGCAGGTGGTCAGCACAGTGTACAGCTTTCTGAGGACTGCCGCCCTTGAGTTCCCCTACTACGGCGGCTCTGCCGACCTTCTCATTATCATTATCAAGGGAGGCCAATCCCGTGATTGCATATTCGTCGGCGCCGAAAAGCGCCCTTGTCGGTGGTGAATGCTCGTGTAGTGTATTCTTCGTGCCTTACTGAGGCCGAAGGCACGCTAGGGATTGCCTGTATCGCTCTGATGTTATATGCGCCACCAGAACCATTCCTATGAGTCCAACCTACAGAAGAGTCAGACTGCCAGTATATATAGGTTTCCCAATGAAGAGGCATAGTACAGAGATTTAGGGATATCTTCCATTAGAGCAGCATAAACGGTCCTCATAGACCCAGGCATCACTAACAGCTCTAGGACCTGGGTCCTGATATCGAATGTGTGCACACAACAATTTTATCGTCCTTGTATATTACAGGGACACTGGACCCCATTTCCAACAGGTGCTGCTCCCCCCCCAATAGATGGGCCCTTCGACAGAGGCCCACTTAACGGGGATGCTCTTATCACCTCAGTAATTGGAACCTGGCAGGGAAGCTTTCGCCCCCCCCCCCCCC